GAGTATCTCTTAGGTTTTTCTCTAAACACAAATACGTTTCTACACCTTATAATGTTCTTTTAAAGTTCTGCAGGTATTACTATCAGCATCCTTATTACGTTCTTTGTGTTTTCTACTTCGGTTGTATACATTTAATACATTCTTCAGTCCGCCTGTAGAATCTTGACCATGTATTTTCAAAATTTTCTTCTTTTTGTCCTTTCAAAAGTATAGCTGATTTGTCCATCTCAGCCATTTCCAATAGCTTATTTATTTCTTCTTCTTTGGGTGGTATCTCTTTTCTTCTCCAAGGGATGAGCTTTTCGTGTGCAGGCACACTTTTCCCAAATGCATTGGAATGGAAGGTAGAGTTCAAACGTATAGACAGAGGCTGGACAGCAAATTAACGAGTAACACAATGAAGATGTTTTAAGCTTGCTCGAGTCACCGCCTTAAAAAGTGTTTCGCTTTGGCTCGTTGGGGGCCCACGAATATCTACAGTTGTCAACCTCCCGGCAGCAAGTCTAGGGCTAACTGGGGCGCTTCGCTGGACGGGGGGAGAAATACTCAGAATCCCTTTACACTTTTTTGTTGGGCGAGTAAAGCTGGAATTTTCGTCATCTCACAGATAGTTAGAAGAGCCCAGCTGGACCAGACATCCGTACTGAGTCCCACCCAGATGTGCCCAGAAGTCTCATCAGCAGGGGTCATTTCGTAGAAAAAGAGATGCAGGAGCTCATTAGCATAGCTCATTTGCATATGCCACACCCCCTGACATCACCGGAAGTGTGTCAGAAGGCAACACCCACCGCTCAGGCTCCACTGGACTGTTTTGGATTGCTAGCTATTGGGGGGGACACGTTCTCACAGAGGAGGGAGAGCTTGTACCTGAATAAAACTTGGCCTTAAAGTTGCCACTGGACTGTTTTGGATTGCTAGTTATGGGGAGGGGAAATGCGCAGGTCTGCCCTCACAGAGGAGGGATAGCTTGTACCTGAAGGTGGGCTGGGGGGGGGGCTCTGCAACTTATCTGGCTGCTTCTTGCTCCTCGTGGCCAACTGAGGGCTACTGGGAGCAAGGGGCGGGGCTTGTTGCATGTGCCCGCCCCCTGGGCTCTTTACTGCCGGAGCTCCGCTCCTGTGCACTCCTGCAGGAAATGACCCCTGCTCATAAGCGATGCTCCCTCTAAACTGTGGAGTCCTGTGAGCAAAAATTCTGTTTTTTGAGCTACTCGCGTTCAAGTGGTGAGCGAGCGATTTGGCTGCTGCATAAATTAGTTTGCTCTGGAGGCATCCTTCCTGAGCTACGACAAAAAATGTGTGAGCCGGAGACTAAAAAACTGTGAGCTAGCTCACACTAGTTCAGCTTAGAGGGAACACTGCTCATGAGCACAACAGTGAGACCAAACCCTCCCCATTGTTGTTTCCCTGTGAATCTGGTGGTACCCTGCTCCTGAATATGGAGGTTCTGTTTAGCTATCTTTGCTAAATAGCCATTGAAAACCTAACCTAATGGCGACTGCTGCGTCCAGTGGCGGTGAGTTCCGCAGGGTAGTTACTGTGGCTTGGTGCTTTTCTGTTTCTCCCCTGAGTCTACAGCCCCCAACAGGTTTATTCAAAGGATTGGCGGGAAAAGACTCTTT